CTCATTGAGATGAGATTGCGAATTTGATTAGGTTAGGTGTAGAAATCGTTTCTGATTGCTATTACGCCATAAAGTCTTAGCTTAGTTTGTTGAATATAAGTAGTTGAAATGGATGACGGGGAGCTTGATTTATCGAACGAGGCCTTGTTTTCGTGTTCGGATTTGCTTGATTTTCCAAGCAGTTGCTCAATGGACGATGAAATTGAAGAGTTTCTCAACAAGACACATGCCTGCACTCATGCCCACACGTGCAACACTTCGGGCCTCGATAACTCCCACACACACATGCACACTTGTTATCACATCCATACCAAGATTATACCTGTACCAAGTGATGATCAGAACCCAACTGATGACACGGCCGAGACTGAGAAGAAACGGAAGGAACACCCGTTGGGTAATCGTGAAGCTGTACGCAAATACCGTGAGAAGAAGAAGGCAAGGACCAGGTCGTTGGAGGATGAAGTTGTTCGATTGAGAGCTTTGAATCAGCAGTTAATCAAGAGGCTGCAGGGCCAAGCTGTACTGGAGGCCGAGATTGCTCGACTCAAGTGCTTGCTTGTTGACGTTAGAGGAAGAATTGACGGCGAGATTGGATCTTTCCCTTACAAGAAACCAGTTAATGCGAATCTTCCAGGTGCTTATGTGATGAATCCATGTAATATCCAATGTAACGATCAACTTGATTGTCTTCACCCTGGATCAGAAGGCGCAGTATTGAACACTCAAGTCGTCAATGATTGTGAGTTCTAACTGGGTCAAGTTAGATATCTATCAACATTACCAGTTGGAAGGTTGTCTGTCCAGCTCATCAGGCCCAAGATGGAAGCCCATTCTTAACTGGGTCAACAAATGTATGGTCTTACGTAGAAGAAAGAAAACCAAGACGTTCCAAATTTCTTTGAAGTTCTGGGAACCCCCAAAACCCAATTTTATTTTAATTTTTTACAATAAAAATTTAATCTTTTTCAATGTCACGTTATTTTGTGGAATAACATGTAGTAGAGTAAGGGTCTGTTTGGTTAGGCTTCTACTTTTGAATATAATGGATTTTCCTGTTACCTTTTGTGAATTGTATGATGAAAATGGACGCCATTAATCTTCAGACATTAGGTAAGACTAGGCTTAACATTGTTTTGTCTAGTAATGTCCAGTTCAACATATTAAATATGTCGATAAATTTCTCCACCTCGACCATCCACTCTAATGTTGAAAAGGCCATTTTGCGCAAGGAAAACGACTCGGG